ATATATATATATAGCAAATATATATTGTTAATTACCCTCCATCTGTTCTGGGGTCCTTCAGAGCAGATCTGAGATATGCAAAGGGGAACAACAGGAAGACCTGTTGCATGAGTGGAAGTAAATGTTAGGTACTGAAGCTTAATGTAGAGAAACGTGTATAGAGTTGCAGCCTTGCGCTTGCTTTATTACTGAGGCATCAAATAACTGTTTAGAATTGGGATGTTATTCTCTAATATTTGTTATGTGTAGACACTATAATTAACATTCTTCAGTCACTGCTAATGCTTTTAGCCTGTGAAAACTGTTCACCATTAAGAGTCTAGTTTCCTTAAGTGCTATTATCTATTTGAATACTGTATAATGCAACGTGATGTTTGTATTTCTTTTAAAATGACTTTGAACAAATTTCAGTTAACATCCATCTGAACCTGGTTTGGGTATAATTGGAAAACACAAGTGATTCACTCAAATACTTCGCTCTGCAGTAGTATTTTTTTCCATGTGGCAACATTGTCAAGTTAACTAGTTGTAAGCCAGCTATCCAAGTGCTGATTAATATTAGAGGCAAGGATTAAATAAGCTGTGTCTTTAAAAGATTCCAGGAACTTTGAATGCAGAACTACTATTGTAGCTTCTGTCATTCTTCCCAAGACATGTCTAGCTTGTTTCTTTATCATCTTCAGTTATATCAATTGCTTATCTCTTTAATTGGCAAGACAGCATGAACCAATATTTAACTGCCCTTCACTACACCAATCTGATTGCCTCTGCATCTAGGCAGCATATGAGACTTGAGGGAACATTGAGTTGTGAAGAAAAACTGCTTAATAAAAATGCATTTATTGCAGTATTTGATCTAAGCTAAGCTTCCCGATTCTACCCTTGCTTTAAAGAGAACCCTTTTTTCCCCTTTGGTCCAGAAATCTCACATATTTCTTCCTGTTACAGATGAGGCCCGTTCCAAGAAGTGTGGCATTCTAGTCCACTGCCTGGCTGGCATTAGCAGGTCTGTAACAGTAACTGTGGCCTATTTAATGCAGAAGCTCAATTTGTCTCTGAATGATGCCTACGACTTTGTGAAAAGGAAAAAGTCCAACATTTCCCCCAATTTTAACTTTATGGGACAGCTTCTGGACTTTGAAAGAACTTTGGGATTGAACAGCCCATGTGATAATCGCTCGCCTGGGGACCAGCTTTATTTTACCACCCCCACCAATCACAACTTGTTTCAGCTGAACACGTTGGAGTCCACATGAAGGAGATTTTGATTGGGGAACCTCAAACCTTGAATAGCTTCTGTTGAGCATTTCAAATTCATTGATGGAAAAAGTTTTTCAAGTCAGCTTTGAAAGAACTGGTCTCTCCAAGCAGAGCTGTCTGGTTGCTGCTTAATTGGAAAAGTGTGCACCATTTATTAGTATTCGGATGCGAATCCAAGTGGTTCAGAAGAGTTACTTTATTCACCAGAATTATTTGATATTGGGAATGCCCTGACATTCTGAATGCAGCTGTTACTGGCAATAACTGTTTTCTGATGTGTGTAGAGACTGAAATGATACATACCACACATGCACACGTATCACACACAAGTGTATTACTGGATCAGTGTGGGTTGGCTTGGTGTGGAAAGTAAAGAAGACTTGTGCACTTAGCAAACTTGACCAATAAGTGTTGGCCTGAGACTGTTCTTTTACATCCCAGTTTACTTTTTTTAAAAAGAGGTAATCTTTACTCTTTCTTGGGTTCAAGCTCTTTTTCAATATGTAAGTTCCTGACTGTTTGTACAGACCAGGTTGAAAAACCAGTATTTTATTCTGTTGTTGTTCAATTTCATGTTTTTTAGATATGAGAGAGAGAGATGAAAATAATTCAAATGTTTCTATTGACCAAATGCATTTTGCACACTCTGTAAAGCCTTGATATGTTCTCTAGCATGTTACTGGTAACTGGGGGTGGGATGGGGAAAAGAGAAAGACTTGTTGCTATACCTAGGTAGCATCTCGCTGGAGTTTTCATGATTTATGAGAGCCAGTTGGTATACAATACCCCTCTGCACCATGTCCACCTTCACAATCTTTTCTGCACTGACTCAGCCAAGGTGACTAAGCGCCAATGTGCTTTCTGATTTAAAAAAAAAAAAAAATCTTTGCCAAAACACCCCCCACCCCCAGACCCCACCATCGCATCCTATTCTGTACCAATCACCACTCTGTTCAATATTACCTGAGATAACATCTCGTATGACCTCCACCCAGAGCTGGTAGAAGCATGCTTGGGGGCTCTTGGTTGCTATGTGCAGCCTTTTTGACTGTTAACATCACCCAGCTGGCCTGAAATCACTCCAGCTTCCAAAGCAATGAAAATGCTGTTCGTGTTGTTGGCGTTTATCTGGCACACTTGATTCTTATATATATATATGGGCGCGTATATATGTACAGGTGCATATATATGTACATATATAAATATATTGCATGGGAGGAGCAGCCTGGAGGTGAACAAAGAAACAATATTGCTGTTGTAGAAGGCTTAAGCACAGACTTCCTAATGTAGCCTTCCCTCATCTGGTACTTTCCAGATGGATTGAGATGGCAGTGCCCAGAATTTCCATTCAGGCAAGTTTAGTCAAAGTTTGCCTGGTGATTTTGGGAATTGTGGTCCCAGCATGTGGATGAAGCCAGTATGGGAAAGTAACTTGAAGGTACAACCAGAAGGTACTTTGAATAGGAACCATGGGGCACCATGGGATTACACTACTTAGGAAAAAAAGGTGTGTATGTGTGGGGGGAAGGCTAGTTAATTATGGAGGCGATTGGAGGTTTTTGGGGAGAACTTTTTTGGGATAACTTCTTTGCTGTGCCTTCTATAACAAGAAGACTTGTCTATATTCCTCATTAATGTGTTATACTAGATGAGAGAAAAGTGGTGCTTAACTTTTTCTTGGGAGGAGGGCAGAATGGACATGGAAAAATATTGGCTGCAGTGTAGTCCCTCCTTTTTCCCACCTCCCTTTCCACTTTCACTCTCAAAGTAAACTTAAAAAGCCACGGAGTCTTTTTTTTCCCCCCCCCTTAAATATTCATTTTTTAAATATCTTTTTTCAAAAGTAAATAAATCTCCACATGGAAGAATGTTTAATGCTGTCACATCATGGAACTGTGATGTGTGTGTGCGCGCTTTTAAGAAAATATTGGAATGATTTTTTTTAATGTAACAACGTTAGGGTTATTGGGTCATTGAGACAGGAAAAGTGGAGCACTACGCATGGATGAGCAAGCAGATGAGGAATCTCCTAACTGCATTTTACCTCAAGGAGAGAAATTTAGTTTATCAGGGATTTAGTGCATCTGTATCTTAAGCTGGTTTGTATAAAGGCTTCCTGTGCCACTGGTGGTCTACTTAAAAATGCATCCTCTTCGTATACGCAAGAATTTGTTAGTGAGGGACAGCATTTGCTTTGTGTTTATGAAGGAAAAAATGAGTGACCCTATATATCCTGAACCCAATATTGGGACTTTGTTTATATTGCAAATAAATACTATTTTTTCTTTAAAAACACTGTTTCTGTGTCTAAAGTGTTTCCGAAGTCAGTTTGGCTTCCTGTTTCTTTAAAGAAACCTTATTTGATTTGCCTTTAACACACAACTCCAGCCCAATTCCTATTTGCTTGTCAGTGTTTATACAGTATTTGGTTACACACACAGTTTAATTTTGAAGGTCTGTGGTAAAATCTGGGGAGAGAGGCTCTGATGTAAATCAAAGCTTAAAGAACACCCTGAACATCCTTACTGGCCGAACCCTCTTCATAGGTAAGACCAGCGTGCTGCTGGGTTCTCTTGATTGTGATCTCACCAAATACTCTCATGATGGATATTGAAGTTGAAATTGAGTCTGAACCATTCAGTGCCGAAGTCAGTTGGGTCTTCAGAAAGCTGCTATCTTGGCTAATCAAGGTTTGATCCTTGTAGAGTGATAGTCCTGAACATGGCAGGAGCGCGAGTCTTGCAGTTCACCTGCCTCTTTCAAATTTAGCTTGAATGTCGCTGGAAATCAGGTGGCAGGGGAAGAAGCTTGTGTTTACCAATCTGGTAGGAGCAGGTCCATAACTGTCAGAAATCCTGTGAGCACAAGGCAACTGCACCTTTACCTGGCAATTTCAGTAGGAAATTACAACTTAAGGGCTGCCTTGGCCAATAGTGGTGGCTACTTCTAGGCTGAGAAAAGTTGTGCCTCTTCAGTTTCTGCCTGGCAAGCCAGGTGTATGTTCAGGCAAAAGACGCGGGAAGAGTGAAGAGATAAATAGGCTTAGTAGGTGTTGATAGTCATTTTAAGCATTAAAGCAGCCTTCCTCAGTGTGGAACTATCCAGCTGTATTGGACTGCTGCTCCCATAGTCCGGAATGAACACATCTGTGTTGACTGGGGATAAAAGGGTGGAGTCCACATCTAGAAGGAAAGTGTATTCGGAAAGTATTCAGACCCCCTTCACTTTTTTCAATTTTGTTATGTCG